CCCCAGATATCCCACAGACATCCCAAATCCATCCCACACACACCCCAAATATCCCACTGACATCCCCCAGATATCCCCCACACACCCCAGATATCCCATAGACACACCCCAGATATCCCACACACACCCCAGATATCCCACACACACCCCAGATATCCCACTGACACACCCCCCAAATATCCCCCAGACACAGCACAAATCCTCCCACACACCCCAGACATCCCAAGACATCCCACACACCCCAGATATCCCACACACACCCCAGATATCCCACACACACACCAGATATTCCCCAGACACACCCCAGATATCCCACACATACCCCAGATATCCCACACACACCCCAAATCCACCACACACACACCCCAGATATCCCACAGACATCCCAAATCCACACCACACACACCACAGATATCCCACACATACCCCAGATATCCCATAGACACACCCCAGATATCCCAAAACACCCCAAATATTCCCCACACAGCATCACCTCCCCCAAATATCCCTCCACACACACCCCAAATATCCCACACACACCCCAAATATTCCACACACACCCCAAATATCCACCACACACCCCCACACACCTCAAATCCCACCCTCATCCTGACAGCGGGACTTCACGTGGGACAGACATCCCAAAACACCCCAAATATTCCCCAGACACACCCCCCAAATCCTCCCCACACACCCCAGATATCCCACAGACACACCCGAGATATCCCACAGACACCCCCCCCAAATATCCCTCATACACCCCCCAAATATCCCCCACACACACACCCCAAATATCCCACACACACACCCCAGGTATCCCACACACACCCCAGATATCCCACACACACCCCAAATATCCCCCAACACCCCCAAATCCCCCACCCCATCCCATCCCGAGGGAACCCCAGGGACCCTCCCCTTGCCGTTCCCACAGGGCCACCGGGCTGCCCGACAGGTACTGCGCCCAGGTGGAGAGGAAGGTCGGCAGCCGGGCCGGGACAGCGTCCCCATAGGCCTGGTCCTGCCAGATCCAGCTCCTGGAGGACCAGCCCAGCCAGATCCAGATCCTGTAGGGCTGGTCCAACAAGATCCAGATCCTATAAATCCATCCCAGCAAGATCCAGCTCCTGTAGGACCAGCCCAGCCAGACCCAGCTCCTGTAGGACCAGCCCTGCAAGATCCAGCTCCTGTAGGACCAGCCCAGCAAGATCCAGATCCTTTAAACCCAGCCCTGCAAGATCCAGCTCCTGTAGGGCTGGTCCAACAAGATCCAGATCCTTTAAACCCAGCCCTGCCAGATGCAGCTCCTGCAGGACCAGCCCAGCCAGACCCAGCTCCTGTAGGACCAGCCCAGCAAGATCCAGCTCCTGTAGGACCAGCCCAGCCAGACCCAGCTCCTGTAGGACCATCCCAGCAAGAACCAGATCCTTTAAACCCAGCCCTGCCAGACCCAGCTCCTGTAGGACCAGCCCAGCCAGACCCAGCTCCTGTAGGACCAGCCCAACCAGATCCAGCTCCTGTAGGACCAGCCAAGGAAGATCCAGCTCCTGTAGGGCTGGTCCAAGAAGATCCAGCTCCTGTAGGACCAGCCCAGCAAGAACCAGATCCTGTAAATCCATCCCAGCCAGATCCAGTTCCTGTAGGACCATCCCAGCAAGAACCAGCTCCTATAAACCCATCCCAGCAGGAATTGTCTCCTGTAGGACCATCCCAGCAAGAACCAGCTCCTATAAACCCAGCCCAGCAGGAATTGGCTCCTGTAGGACCATCCCAGCAAGATCCAGCTCCTGTAGGACCATCCCAGCAGGAATTGGCTCCTGTAGGACCATCCCAGCAGGAATTGGCTCCTGTAGGACCATCCCAGCAGGAATTGGCTCCTGTAGGACCATCCCAGCAGGATCTTTCTGTGCTTTCCCCCCTGGATTTGCCGGTTCTGGATCCTCTCCCGCTTTTCCAACAAGAGCCGTTCCCGCAGCCGACGGTGTTTGCCGCCCTTCCCTCCGGCTCCTCCGCCAGATCCCGGGGTGTCTGTGGGGTCCCAGGGGGGTCTGTGGGGTCCCAGGGGTGTCCATGAGGTTCTAGAGGTGTCCATGAGGTCCCAGGGGTGTCTATGGGATCCCAGGAGTGTCCATGAGGTCCCAGGGGTGTCTGTGGGGTCCCAGGGGTGTCTGTGGGGTCCCAGGGGGGTCTGCGGGGCCCCAGGGGGTCTGTGGGGTCCCAGGGGGGTCTGTGGGTTCCAGGGGTGTCCATGAGGTTCTAGAGGTGTCTGTGGGTCCCAGGGGTGTCTGTGGGGTCCCAGTGATGTCTGTGGGGTCCCAGGGGTGCCCATGGGGTCCCAGGGGGGTCTGTGGGGTCCCAGAGGTGTCTGTGGGGTCCCAGGAGGGTCTGTGGGGTCCCAGGGGGGTCCATGGGGTCCCAGTGGTGTCCATGGGGTCCCAGGGGTGCCCATGAGGTTCTAGAGGTGTCTCTGAGGTCCCAGGGGTGCCCATGAGGTTCTAGAGGTGTCCCTGAGGTCCCAGGGGTGTCTGTGAGGTCCCAGGGGTGTCCATGGGGTCCCAGGGGGGTCTGTGGGGTCCCAGGGGGGTCTGTAGGGTCCCGGGGGTGTCCATGAGGTCCCAGGGGTACCCATGACGTCCCAGAGGTGTCTATGGGGTTCTGGGGTGTCCATGAGGGTCGGACCAGTGGGGAGGTGCTGGGATCACTGGGAGATACTGGGATCACTGGGAGATGGTGGGACCAGTGGGGAGGTGCTGGGATCACTGGGAGGTGCTGGGACCTCTGGAAGATACTGGGATCACTGGGAGATACTGGGATCACTGGGAGGTGCTGGGATCAGTGGGAGATGGTGGGACCAGTGGGAGATGGTGGGACCAGTGGGGAGGTGCTGGGATCACTGGGAGATACTGGGATCACTGGGAGATACTGGGATCACTGGGAGGTGCTGGGACCAGTGGGAGGTGCTGGGATCACTGGGAGATGGTGGGATCACTGGGAGATGGTGGGACCAGTGAGGAGGTGCTGGGATCACTGGGAGATACTGGGATCACTGGGAGATGGTGGGACCAGTGGGAGATGGTGGGACCAGTGGGAAACTGTTCCACCAGCACTGGGAGGTGCTGGGACCAGTGGGAGGTGCTGGGATCACTGGGAGATACTGGGATCACTGGGAGGTGCTGGGATCACTGGGAGATGGTGGGACCAGTGGGGAGGTGCTGGGATCACTGGGAGATGGTGGGACCAGTGGGAAACCGTCCCACCAGCACTGGGAGGTGCTGGGACCACTGGGAGGTGCTGGGATCACTGGTGGGACCAGTGGGGAGATGATGGGACCACTGGGAGAGGGGGACAATTCCCACCAGGACCTGGGGGTGGAGCCCGGAGCACAGAGCTGGTTAGACTGGTTGAACTGGTTTAATTCTCCAGTGGAACTGGTTTAACTGGTTTTATTCTCCACTTAACCAGTTTAGTTGCTTTAACTGGTTTAATTCTCCAGTGGAACTGGTTTAATTCTCCAATGGAACTGGTTTAAATGGTTTAACTGGCTTAATCCTCCACAGTAACTGGTTGAACTGGTTTAATTCTCCAGTGGAACTGGTTTAATTCTCCAATGGAACTGGTTTAAATGGTTGAACTGGCTTAATCCTCCAGTGGAACCGGTTTAACTGGTTTAATTCTCCAATGGAACTGGTTTAAATGGTTTTTAGAGGTCTAATTCTCTGGTGGAACTGGTGCAACTGGTGGAACTGGTGGAACTGGTTTTCTTTTTTGCTTTTGAAAATACCAAGGAGAGGACTGGAAACACCGAGGGAAGGATGGAAACTGGGATGGAAAACACCGAGGGAAAGATGGAAAATGAGGAGGGAAAGATGGAAAATGAGGAGGGAAGGGTGGAAAATGAGGAGGGAAAGATGGAAAATGAGGAGGGAAGGGTGGGAAACAAGAAGGAAAGGATGGAAAACAAGAAGGAAAGGGTGGAAAACAAGAAGGAAGGGTGGAAAACAAGAAGGAAGGATGGAAAACAAGAAGGAAAGGATGGAAAACAAGAAGGAAAGGATGGAAAACAATGAAGGAAGGATGGAAAACAAGGAGGGAAAGGGTGGAAAACAACAAAGGGAAGGATGGAAAACAAGAAGGAAAGGGTGGAAAACAAGAAGGAAAGGATGGAAAACAACAAAGGGAGGATGGAAAACAAGAAGGGAAGGATGGAAAACAAGAAGGAAAGATGGAAAACAACAAAGGGAGGATGGAAAACAAGAAGGGAAGGATGGAAAACAAAGAGGGAAGGATGGAAAACAACAAAGGAAGGATGGAAAACAACAAAGGAAGGATGGGAAACAAGAAGGAAAGGGTGGAAAACAAGGAGGGAAGGATGGAAAACAAGAAGGAAAGGGTGGAAAACAAGGAGGAAAGATGGAAAAGAAGAAGGAAAGGATGGAAAACAACAAAGGAAAGATGGAAAACAACGAAGGAAAGGATGGAAAACAAGGAGGGAAGGATGGAAAACAAAGAGGGAAAGATGGAAAATGAGGAGGGAAGGATGGAAAACAACGAAGGAAGGATGGAAAACAAGGAGGGAAGGATGGAAAACAACAAAGGAAGGATGGAAAACAAGGAGGGAAGGATGGAAAACAACAAAGGAAGGATGGGAAACAAGAAGGAAAGGATGGAAAACAACAAAGGAAGGATGGAAAACAACAAAGGAAAGATGGAAAACAACGAAGGAAAGGATGGAAAACAATGAAGGAAGGATGGGAAACAAAGAGGGAAAGATGGAAAATGAGGAGGGAAGGATGGAAAACAACAAAGGAAGGATGGAAAACAATGAGGGGAGGATGGAAAACAAGGAGGGAAGGATGGAAAACAACAAAGGGAAGGATGGAAAACAAGGAGGGAAGGATGGAAAACAATGAGGGGAGGATGGAAAACAAGGAGGGAAGGATGGAAAACAATGAGGGGAGGATGGAAAACAAGGAGGAAAGGATGGAAAAGCAGCAAAGGAAAGGATGGGAAACAACAAAGGAAGGATGGAAAACAACGAGGGAAGGCTGGAAAATGGGATGGGAAAGAGCAAGGGGGAGGATGGAGGAAACCATCGGCTCCAGAGACACCTCCTGGGTAACCGAGTCGATGGAGCTGCGACCCCAGAGCTGGGACAGCCACAGGGGAGTCCTGTTGGGCCGGGCCTAGGGGGGATGGATCTGGCTGGGCTGGTCCTACAGGAGCCAATTCCTGCTGGGATGGTCCTACAGGAGCTGGATCTTGCTGGGATGGTCCTACAGGATCTGGTCCTTGCTGGTCCAGCCCTACAGGAGCTGGATCTTGCTGGGATGGTCCTACAGGATCTGGTCCTTGCTGGGATGGTCCTACAGGAGCTGGATCTTGCTGGGATGGATTTACAGGAGCTGGATCTTGCTGGGCTGGTCCTACAGGATCTGGATCTTGCTGGGATGGTCCTGCAGGAGCTGGATCTTGCTGGGATGGTCCTGCAGGAGCTGGATCTTGCTGGGATGGTCCTACAGGAGCTGGATCTGGCTGGGCTGGTCCTACAGGAGCTGGGTCTGGCTGGGATGGGTTTAAAGGATCTGGATCTGGCTGGGCCAGCCCTACAGGAGCTGGGTCTGGCTGGGATGGTCCTGTGGGAGCCAATTCTTGCTGGTCTGGCCCTACAGGAGCTGGATCTTGCTGGGATGATCCTACACGAGGTGGTCCTTGCTGGTCCAGCCCTACAGGATCTGGTCCTTGCCGGTCCAGCCCTACAGGATCTGGTCCTTGCCGGTGCAGCCCTACAGGAGCCGTCCTTGCTGGTGCAGCCCTAGTCAGGGTCAGTCTGCAGGCGGCTCCCCGCCCTCCTCTCCACCTGGGCGCAGTACCTGTCGGGCAGCCCGCTGGCCCTGCGGGGACGGCAACGGGAGGGTCCCTGGGGTTCCCTCGGGATGGGATGGGGTGGGGGGATTTGGGGGTGTTGGGGATTTGGGGGAGGTGTTGGGGGATATTTGGGGGGTGTGTTGGGAATATTTGGGGTGTATGTGTGGATATTTGGGGTGTGTTGGAGGATATTTGGGGAGTGTGTGTTGGACATATTTGGGGGTGTGGGGGGATATTTGGGGTGTGTGGGGGGTGGATTTGGGGTGTTTTGGAATGTCTGTCCCTGCAGGAAGGCCCTGCTGGCCAGGACAGAGGGGGATATTTGGGGTGTGTATGGGGGATATTTGAGGGGGGTTTCTGGGGGATATTTGGGGTGTGTCTGTGGGATATCTGGGGTGTGTGGGGTGGATTTGGGGTGTGTGGGGGGTGGATTTGGGGTGTCTGGGGGATATCTGGGGGGTGTGTGGGATATCTAGGGTGTGTGTAGATATTTGGGGTGTGTGTGGGGGGGATATTTGGGGGGGTGTATGAGGGATATTTGGGGGGTGTGTCTGTGGGATATCTGGAGGGTGTGTGGGATATCTGGGGTGTGTGTGGGATGGATTTGGGATGTCTGTGGGATATCTGGGGTGTGTGTGTGGATGGATTTGGGGTGTGTGTGTGGTGGATTTGGGGTGTGTGGGGATGGATTTGGGGGGTGTGTGATGTGGATTTGTGCTGTGTCTGGGGAATATTTGGGGTGTTTTGGGATGCCTGTCCCCGTGTGAAGGCCCCTCTGGCTGGGACAGGGGGGGATATTTGGGGTGTGTGTGTTGGGGATATTTGGGATGTGTGTGGGTTATTTGGGGGGTGTCTGTGGGATATTTGGGGTGTCTGTGGGATATCTGGGGTGTGTGTGGGATATCTGGGGTGTCTGTGGGATATTTGGGGTGTGTGTGGGGTGGATTTGGGGTATGTGTGGGATATTTGGGGTGTGTGTGGGTTGGATTTGGGGTGTGTGTGTGGTTGATTTGGGCTGTGTGTGGGATATTTGGGATGTCTGTGGGGTGTGTGTATGAGGGATATTTAGGGGGTGTGTGTGGGTTGGATTTGGGGTGTTTTGGGATAGATTTGGGGGGTGTTTTGGGATGGATTTGGGGGATGTTTTGGGATGGATTTGGGTTGTTTTGGGACGCCTGTCCCGCGTGAATCCCCCCCGTCCCCTCTCACCGCAGCTCGTGCAGCTTGACCTGCCCCAGGCGGGCGAGGCTGCGGCGGCGCTGCCGGGCCTGGTGCTGGTGTTGCCGGCTCTCCTCGAGGGAGGCCGCCCGCTCCCGCTCCCGCCGCCGCCGCCGCTCCCGCATCTGCTGCCGCAGCTCCTCGGCGTGGGCGCGCGCCAGCCCCGCCCGCCGCTCCCGCTCCAGCCGCTCCCGCTCCTGCTGCTCCTGCTGCACCCTGCGCACACAGCGGGGGGGGCTAGGGGGGTTTGGGGTTCTGGGGGGATGGGGGTTCTAGGGGTGGATGGGGGTTCTAGAGGTGTCTACAGGGTCCAGGGGGTCTGTGGGGTTCTAGGGGGTCAAAAGGGTCCACAGGGGGCTGCGGGGTTCTAGGGGGCTCAACAAGGTCCCAGGGAGGCTTTGGGGTTCTAGGGGAAATGTCTGGGGTTCTAGGTGGGATTTGGGGTTCTAGAGGGCTCAACAAGGTCCAGAAGGGGCTGTGGGGTTCTAGAGGTGTCAACAGGGTCCAGTGGGGCTGGGGGTTCCAGAGGGAAGCTGGGGTTCTAGGTAGGCTTCGAGGTTCTAGAGGGCTCAACAGGGTCCAGAGGGGGCTGGGGGTTCTAGGGGTGTCAACAACGGCCCGGGGGCTGTGAGGTCCTAGAGGGTCTGTGGGGTTCTAGGGGGCAACAAGGTCCAGGGGTGCCTGTGGGGTTCTAGGGGGCTGGGGTTCTAGAGGGTTCAACAAGGTCCCAGAGGGGGCTGCGGGGTTCTAGGGGTTTTGGGGTTCTAGGGGGCAACAATGTCCCGAGGGGATGGGGGTTCTAGGGGGTCAACAGGGTCCAGGGGTGTCTGTGGGGTTCTAGGGGGACAACAACGGCCCGGGGGGGAGGTGGGGGTTCTAGGGGGCTTTGGGGTTCTAGGGGGACAACAACGGTCCAGGGGGGCTGGGGTTCTAGGGGGGTCAACAGGGTCCAGAGGGGTCTGGGGGGTTCTAGAGGTGTCAACAAGGTCCCAGGGGAGTCTGTGGGGTTCTAGAGGTGTCAACAGGGTCCAGAGGGGGTTGGGGGGTTCTAGAGGTGTCAACAGGGTTCAGGGGGGGTCTGTGGGGTTCTAGAGGGGTCAACAAGGTCCAGAGGGGTCTGTGGGGTTCTAGAGGGGTCAACAGGGTTCAGAGCAGGCAGGGGGGTTCTAGGAGGGTCAACAAGGTCCCAGGGGGGGTCTAGTGGGGTTCCAGGGGGAAGCTGTGGGGTTCTAGGTGGGCTTTGGGGTTCTAGAGGGTTCAACAAGGTCCAGGGGGGGTCTGTGGGGTTCTGGAGGCAGCCGTGGGGTTCTAGGTGGGCTTCGGGGTTCTAGAGGGCTCAACAAGGTCTGGGGGGGTCTGTGGGGTCCTAGAAGGGGCTGTGGGGTTCTAGGGGTGGTCTCCACAGTTCTAGAGCTAGCAACAAGGTCCAGGGGGAGTCTGTGGGGTTCTAGAGCTGCCAACAAGTCCCAGGGGGTGTCTGTGGGGTTCTAGGGGTGGTCTCTGGGGTTTTAGAGGGGTGTAGAAGGTTCCAGGAGTGTCTATGAGATTCTAGAGCTGTTTCTGAGGTCCCAGGGGTGCCTATGGGATTCTAGAGGGGTCTGTGAGGTCCAACGGGGTTCTACAGTTATCTGGAAGGTTCCAGGAGTGTCTACAAGGTTCTAGAGGGGTCTCTGAGGTCCCTGAGGTGTCTCTGAGGTTCTAGGAGAGTCTACAAGGTTCTAGAGGAGTCTACAGAGTTCTAGAGGGGTCTCTGAGGTCCCTGAGGTGTCTATGGGGTTCTAGGAGAGTCTATGAGGTTCTAGGAGAGTCCACAAGGTTCTAGGGGTGTCTACAGAGTTCTGGAGAGGTCCCTGAGGTCCTTGAGGTGTCTCTGAGGTTCTAGGAGAGTCTACAAGGTTCTAGGGGTGTCTACAGAGTTCTAGAGGGGTCTCTGAGGTCCCTGAGGTGTCTGTGAGGTTCTAGGGTTGTCTATGGGGTTCTAGGGTGTCTACTCCCTCCAGAGCCCCCAGTTCTCACTGGGAGTCCCCCACCCCAGCCCCCCAGGACTCACCGGAGCACCTTGAGGAACTCCTGGCGCTCCTGCTCCACCTGCATGGCCAGGGTGTGCCTCTTGAGGGCCACCTGCTCGCGGCGCTCCCGCTGCAGCTGCTGCACCAGCTCGGCCTCTTTCCGAGCCTTCTCCAGCTCCTTCCGCCGCCACTCCCGCTCCGCGGCCTCCTGGCTCCTCTTGGTCCTCAGGGCGTCCTGCCCGGCCAGGGGGACAGGGATGGGGACAGGGGAGGGGACAGGGGAGGGGACATTGGGGGGGACAGGGATGGGGACAGTGCAGGGGACAGTGCAGGGGACAGGGGAGGGGACAGTGGAGGGGACAGGGGAGGGGACAGGGAGGGGACAGTGCAGGGACAGAGGAGGGACAGGAGGGGACAGGAGGGGACAGGGGTGGGTGACAGGGATGAGGGACAGGGAGGGGACAGGGGGTTTGGGGTCCTTCTGGACATCCCTTGGCTCCAAGGGCTCGGGACAGGGCTGGGGACAGTGGAAGGGACAGGGGGGTTCCACACCTGGACACGGCTTTGGGGCCCTTCTGGACATCCCTTGGCTCCAAGGGCTGGGGTGGGGACAGGGATGGGGACAGTGGAGGGGACAGAGGGGGTTTCCCACCCAGCCACAGCTTTGGGGCCCTTCTGGAGCCTCCAAGGGCTGGGTTGGGGACAGGGTGGGACAGGGGTGGTGACAGGGGCTGTGACAGGGGTGGGCACAGTGGTGGGGACAGGGTGGTTTCCACACCCAGTCACGGCTTTGGGGCCCTTCTGGACATCCCATGGCTCCAAGGGCTGGGGTGGGGACAGGGCTGGGGACAGTGGAGGGGACAGTGGAGGGGACAGGGGGGGTTCCACACCTGACACGGTTTTGGGACCCTTCTGGCACCTCCAAGGGCTGGGGTGGGGACAGGGTGGGGACAGGGGTTTCACTCAACCGTGGCTTTGGGGCCCTTCAGATGCTCAGGGGGCTGGGGTGGTGACAGGGTGGGGACAAGGGTGGGGACAGGGAGTCCACAGCCACGTTTTTGGGGCCCTTCTGGACATCCTTGGCTCCAAGGGCTGGGGACAGGGCTGGGGACAGGGCTGGGGACAGTGGAGAGGACAGCGGAGGGGACAGGAGGAGTTCCACACCTAGACCATGGCTTTGGGGCCCTTCTGGAGCCTCCAAGGGCTGGGATGGGGACAGGGCTGGGGACAGTGGAGGGGACAGGGGGGGATTTCCCACCCAACCATGGCTTTGGGGCCCTTCTGGAGCCTCCAAGGGCTGGGATGGGGACAGGGCTTGAGGACAAGGTTGGAGCACAGGGCTGGGCACAGGGCTGGGCACAGGGTTGGGGGACAGGGCTGGGGACAGGGTTGAGCACAGGGTTGGGGGACAGGGCTGGGGACAGGGTTGGGCACAGGGTTGGGGGACAAGGCTGGGCACAGGGTTGGGGCACAGGACTGGGGACAGGGTTGGGGACAGGGCTGAGGACAAGGCTGGGCACAGGGTTGGGGCACAGGACTGGGGACAGGGTTGGGCACAGGGCTGGGGACAAGGGTGGGCACAGGGTTGAGGGACAGGGCCACTCACCCTCTGTGCCTGCCAGTCCTGGTCCCTCTGCTGGGTGGCCCTGAGCCGGGCCAGCTCCTTCTCCTTCTCCCAGCGGATCCGCTCCTGCTCCGCCTCCGCGGCCGCCTCGCGCTCCTGGTGGGGGGGGACAGAGCCCCTTGGCAACCCCTGCCTGGCACCCCCTGCCCCCCCAGAGCCACCCCCAGACCCCTCTCACCATCTTCTGCCTCTGGTACTGCAGCACCTTCTGCTCCTCCAGCCGCTCCCGCTGGCGCTGCCCGTCCCGCACCCGCTGGTTCTCCCGGTCCGCCTCCTTCATCTCCGAGAAAATTCGCCTTTTCCGCTCCTGCTTCCGCTCCCAGGCCTGGGAATCCCACCCAGGGTCAGGGAATGTTCCCTCCTCCTCCTCCTGCTCGTCCTGCTCGTCCTGGTCCAGCTCAGGGAGGCTTTGGGGCACCTCCTGAGGGTCCCTCCGAGATCCCCCATCTGGGATCTGCCGCCTTCACCCCCATCCCGCTCCAAGGGGCTCCTTCAGCCCCTTTTTCCAGCCCTTTTTCCAGCCCCTTTTTCCAGCCCCTTTTTTTTCCAGCCCCTGTTTTTTCCAACCCCTTTTTCCAGCCCCTTTTTCCAGCCCCTTTTTTTTCCAGCCCCCTTTTTCCAGTCCCTTTTTCCAGCCCCCCTTTTTTTTCCAGCCCCTTTTTCCAGCCCCTTTTTCCAGCCCCTTTTTCCAGCCCCTTTTTTTTCCAGCCCCCTTTTCCCATCCTGACCTGCCGGTCCTCCCTCCTCATCTCCTCCAGGCGCTCCAGCCGTGCCAGGACCTCCTGGTACTTCTGCTCTGCCCTCAGCACCCTCTCAGCCTCCCTCTCCTCCATCTGCTTCACGATCTCCTGCCTGGTCCTGGGAATTGGGGATCAGGGAGCGTCCCCTCCGGCCCCATCCCGCTCCCAGGGCTGGGAATGCTGGGGGTGGAATGGCTGGGATGGTTTGGATGCTCCCATGGGGGAACCTCGAGCCCACCTGACGAGCATCTCCTTCCTGCGGCGCTCCAGCTCCTCCTGCATCCCCAGCCCCTTCTCCCGCTCCGTTTCCATCAGCTTTTCCAGGCGTTTCTCCTCCTGCTCCAGCTCCTGCTGGATGAGCCGCTTCTCCAGGACTTGCCTGTCCCGGATCATGTGGCACTTGGCGTTCAGGAAGAGCTGTGGGGACAGGAGGTGGGGTGGGACGGGAAGGGAAGGGTTGGGAAGGGTTGGGAAGGTTTGGGAAGGGAAGGTTTGGGAAGGGAAGGTTTGGGAAGGGAAGGGAAGGGAAGGTTTGGGGAAGGAAGGGAAGGGTTGGGAAGGGTTGGGAAGGGTTGGGAAGGTTTGGGAAGGAAGGGAAGGGAAGGGAAGGTTTGGGAAGGGAAGGGAAGGGGAAGGGAAGGGAAGGGAAGGGAAGGAAGGGAAGGGAAGGAGGGGAAGGGAAGGAAGGGAAGGGAAGGGAAGGGAAGGGAAGGGAAGGGAAGGGAAGGTTTGGGAAGGGAAGGGAAGGGAAGGGAAGGGAAGGGAAGGGAAGGAAGGGAAGGAAAGGAAGGGAAGGGAAGGGAAGGGAAGGGAAGCTCCCTCTTGTCCAGGTGGCAGTGGCAGCTCCGGCCCTACCGAGTTGAGCTCCCTCATCTCCTCCTCCTGCTCCATCCTCATCCTCCTGGCCCGCTCCAGCAGCTCCTGCTCCCGCTGCTGCCGCTCCTCCTGCAGGTCCTGGCGCTGCTCCATCCTGTCCTGGAGCTCGGCCTTGCGCCGCTCCGCGCTCCGGGCCTGGCTCAGCAACTCCTGCGGGCACAGCGAGCGCTGCCCGAGCCCGCCCTGCCCGGGGCTCCGGGGCATTCCCGGGGCAGGATCCATGGGAATTCCTGGGGCAGGATCCATGGGCATTCCTGGGGCAGGATCCATGGGGGGCATTCCCGGCACAGCATCCATGGGAATTCCTGGGGCAGGATCCATGGGAATTCCTGGGGCAGGATCCATGGGGGCATTCCCGGGCAGGATCCATGGGAATTCCTGGGACAGGATCCATGGACATTCCTGGGACAGGATCCATGGGGGGCATTCCCGGCACAGGATCCATGGGAATTCCTGGGACAGGATCCATGGGAATTCCTGGGGCAGGATCCATGGGAATTCCTGGGACAGGATCCATGGGAATTCCTGGGGCAGGATCCATGGGAATTCCTGGGGCAGGATCCATGGGAATTCCTGGGGCAGGATCCATGGGAATTCCTGGGGCAGGATCCATGGGCATTCCTGGCACAGGATCCATGGGGGGAATTCCTGGGACAGGATCCATGGGGGGCATTCCCAGGACAGGATCCATGGGAATTCCTGGGACAGGATCCATGGGAATTCCTGGGACAGGATCCATGGACATTCCTGGGGCAGGATCCATGGGGGGCATTCCTGGGGCAGGATCCATGGGAATTCCTGGGACAGGATCCATGGGAATTCCTGGGACAGGATCCATGGGAATTCCTGGGACAGGATCCATGGGAATTCCTGGGGCAGGATCCATGGGAATTCCAGGACAGGATCCATGGGAATTCCTGGGACAGGATCCATGGGAATTCCTGGGACAGGATCCATGGGGCATTCCGGCACGGATCCATGGACTCCTGGGACAGGATCCATGGGAATTCCTGGGACAGGATCCATGAACATTCCCGGCACAGGATCCATGGGAATTCCTGGGGCAGGATCCATGGGGGACATTCCTGGGACAGGATCCATGGGGGGCATTCCCGGGACAGGATCCATGGGAATTCCTGGGACAGGATCCATGGGGGCATTCCTGGCACAGGATCCATGGGAATTCTGGGAGCAGGATCCATGGGAATTCCTGGGACAGGATCCATGGGAATTCCTGGGGCAGGATCCATGGGAATTCCTGGGGACAGGATCCATGGGAATTCCTGGGGCAGGATCCATGGGAATTCCTGGGGCAGGATCCATGGGGGCATTCCTGGGACAGGATCCATGGGAATTCCTGGGACAGGATCCATGGGAATTCCTGGGACACACTGGGGGCATTCCCGGGACAGGATCCATGGGAATTCCTGGGACAGGATCCATGGGAATTCCTGGACAGGATCCATGGGAATTCCTGGGACAGGATCCATGGGGCATTCCGGGACAGGATCCATGGAATTCCTGGGACAGGATCCATGGGGCATTCCTGGGACAGGATCCATGGGAATTCCTGGGACAGGATCCATGGGAATTCCTGGGACAGGATCCATGGGAAATCCTGGGGCAGGATCCATGGGGGGCATTCCCGGGACAGGATCCATGGGGGCATTCGAGGACCATGGGAATCCTGGGTGGATCCAACAAGGTGGGATTGGTGGATCTCAGGGGGGGATTGGTGGATCTCAGGGTGGGATTGGTGGATCTCAGGGTGGGATTTCTGGATCCAACCAGAGTGGGGTTCCTGGATAAAGCCAGGATAGGAATTCCTGGATAAAACCAGGATAGGAATTCCTGGGTACAGCCAGGGTGGGATTGGGGGATCCAACCAGGGTGGGATTGGGGGATCCAACCAGGGTGGGATTGGGGGATCCAACAGAGTGGGATTGGTGGATCCAACCAGGATGGGATTGGTGGATCCAACCAGGGTGGGATTGGTGGATCCATCTATGGTGGGATTGGAGGATCCAGCCAGGGTGGGATTCCTGGATCCAGTCAGGGTGGGATTCCTGGATCCAGCCAGAGTGGGATTCCTGGATCCAGTCAGGGTGGGATTCCTGGATCCAGTCAGGTGGGATTCCCAGATCCAGCCCTGGTGGGATCCCTTCCCCACCCCCAGACCCGGCAATCCCAGGGATCCTGCCCAGCCCTTCCTGCCCCAGGGCCCACAGGAGCCCCCCCTGAGCCCCCCCCAACACAGCCCAAACCACAGGGAGAGAGGACAGAGGGGAGACCCCCAGAGTGCCCCCAGCCCTCCACCCCCAGAGTGCCCCCAGCCCTCCACCCCCAGGGGCTGGCAGGGAGACCCCGGAGTGCAGGGAGACCCCGAGTGCCCCCACCCCTCCACCCCCAGAGTGCCCCCACCCCTCAACCCCAGGGGCTGGCAGGGAGACCTCAGAGTGCCCCCTACCCCTCCACCTCCTGGGGGCTGGCAGGAGACCCCAGAGTGCAGGAGACCCCGGAGTGCCCCCACCCTCCACCCTCCTGGGGCTGGCAGGGAGACCCCAGAGTGCCCCCACTCCCCAGGGGCTGGCAGGGGAGACCCCCGGAGTGCAGGGAGCCCCCAGAGTGCCCCCACCCCCAGGGGCTGGCAGGGGAGACCCCGGAGTGCAGGAGCCCCAGAGTGCCCCCACCCCCAGGGCTGGCAGGGGAGATGCCCACCTTGGCAGCGTCCTGCTTGGCCTGCAGGGCCCTGGCCCTGTCCCCGCGCTCCTCCCGGCTCAGCCCCTCGGCCGCTCCCTTCAGCTGCTCCCAATCCTTCCTGGGCACGATCAGCGAGCCCGGGGCTTCTCCTGGGGAACGCTGCGAGGCACCGGGACAGCGCTCAGGGCACCGCCAGCACCCCGGGAAGGGTGGGGAGGGAAGGGAAGGGAGGAGGGGAGGGAAGGGAAGGGAAGGAAGGGAAGGAAGGAAGGAAGGGAAGGGAAGGGAAGGTTTGGGAAGGGAAGGAAGGGAAGGTTTGGAAGGAAGGAAGGGAAGGGAAGGGAAGGAAGGAAGGAAGGAAGGGAAGGGAAGGTTTGGGAAGGAAGGGAAGGGAAGGTTTGAAGGAAGGAAGGAAGGAAGGGAAGGAAGGAAGGGAGGGAAGGGAAGGAAGGAAGGAAGGAAGGGAAGGTTTGGGAAGGAAGGAAGGCAAGGAAGGTTTGGGAAGGGAAGGGAAGGGAAGGTTTGGGAAGGTTTGGAAGGAAGGTTTGGGAAGGGAAGGTTTGGGAAGGAAGTGAAGGTTTGGGAAGGTTTGGGAAGGTTTGGGAAGGTTTGGGAAGGGAAGGGAAGGAAGGAAGGTTTGGGAAGGAAGGGAAGGGAAGGAAGGGAAGGGAAGGGAAGGTTTGGAAGGGAAGGGAAGGGAAGGTTTGGGAAGGTTTGGGAAGGTTTGGGAAGGTTTGGGAAGGGAAGGTTTGGGAAGGGAAGGGAAGGAAGGGAAGGTTTGGGAAGGTTTGGGAAGGTTTGGGAAGGTTTGGGAAGGGAAGGGAAGGGAAGGGAAGGGAAGGGAAGGTTTGGGAAGGGAAGGGAATGGAAGGTTTGGGAAGGGAAGGTTTGGGAAGGTTTGGGAAGGTTTGGGAAGGGAAGGGAAGGGAAGGGAAGGGAAGGGAAGGGAAGGGAAGGGAAGGTTTGGGTAAGGGAAGGTTTGGGAAGGGAAGGGAAGGGAAAGGAAGTTTTGGGGCAAAATAAGCTGATTTTCCCCTCTTTCTGATATCCCAGGACACCCCCCCAAAGCCCCTCCAAGCCCCCCCAAACTCACATGAGCTCCCTGACCACGTCCTTGGTGATGATCCGGATGGTCCTGGGCTTGCTCCTGAGCGGGGGCAGCGCTCCAGGGCTGCTCCAAACATCCCTCAGGATCACCAGGGGGCTGCCAGAGCCTGAGCCCTGCGGGAAAAGGGGGGTCTGAGGAGCCCCAAAACCCCACCTGGGGGTTGAAAAAGGGGGGTCTCCCAGGCCTGAGGGATCCAGGAGCTTCCAGGGGGGGTCCTGTCCCCTCCCCGTGGCTCCCTGAGCTCCAGGGGCTCTGGAAAATCCCATGGGATTCAGCCTGGGCAGAGCTCCAGGGTGTCCCAGTCTGGTGCCAGGGCAGGTTCCACTTCCCAGAGCCCTTCCCAGCAGGATCTGCCCCGGATCAGGGGCTAAACCCAGGTTTTATTCCTGGGAATTCTGTTTCCTAGCCCAGCTTGGAAGCCCTGGAGCCGATTGCCTGGCACCGAGCAGCTCCCTGGGGGGCTTTTCCTGCCAGAATTCCCAATTTTTGGGGTCCTATCCATGGGCTTTCCCCAACCCCAGCCTGGCAGGTGCTGGAGCAGCTTCCCAAGGCTCCAAATGGGAGCTGCTGGATTGAAGGATCCGTGAGAAGTCACCTCAGGAATTCCCTGGATCGATCCCAGGGGACTCCCGGGATGAATCCCAGGGAAGCCAATTGATCCCCACGGGACAATCCTAATTCCAGAGGGGGAAAATTGGGTTTCAGGGATGAGTCCCCCACTCTGGGGGGTTCCAGCTTGGAAAGACCCCCAGGAGTGGGACGGGATGAGCTTTAATTCCCTTCCCACCCCACCCCATTCCAAAGGGATGGATCCTGGGAGGGGTGGGATCTCTGGGATGGACCCCCCTTTGTTCTTCCTGAGGGGGGAATCCCACCCTGCCAATTCCAGAGGGGGGAAATTTGGGTTCCATGGATGAGCCCCCCACTCTGGGGGGTTCCAGCTTGGAGAGACCCCCAGGAGTGGGACGGGATGAGCTTTAATTCCCTTCCCACCCCACCCCATTCCAAAGGGATGGATCCCGGGCTGGGTGGGATCTCCCGTGTCCTGAGGGGGGGGAATCCCACCCTGCCAATTCCAGAGGGGGAAATTTGGGTTCCATGGATGAGCCCCCCACTCTGGGAGGGTTCCAGCTTGGAAAGACCCCCAGGAGGGGGATGGGATGAGCTTTAATTCCCTTCCCACCCCACCCCATTCCATGGGGATGGATCCTGGGAGGGGTGGGATCTCTGGGATGGACCCCCCTTTGTTCTTCCTGAGGGGGGAAATCCCACCCTGCCAATTCCAGAGGGGGAAATTTGGGTTCCATGGATGAGCCCCCCACTCTGGGGTGTCCAGCTGGAAAGACCCCCAGGAGTGGGATCGGATGAGCTTTAATTCCCTTCCCAACCCACCCCATTCCAAAGGGATGGGTACTGGGAGGGGTGGGATCTCTGGGATGGACCCCCCTGTGTTCTTCCTGAGGGGGGGAATCCCACCCAGCCAATTCCAGAGGGGGGAAATTTTGGCTCCATGGATGAGCCCCCCCTGGTCTGGGGGGTTCCAGCCTGGAGAGACCCCTAGGAGTGGGACGGGATGAGCTTTAATTCCCTTCCCACCCCACCCCATTCCATGGGGATGGATCCCAGGAGGGGTGGGTTCTCTGGGATGGACCCCCTTGGGGGGAATCCCACCCTGCCAATTCCAGAGGGGGAAATTTGGGTTCCATGGATGAGCCCCCCACTCTGGGGGGGTGTCCAGCTTGGAAAGACCCCCAGGAGTGGGACGGGATGAGCTTTAATTCCCTTCCTAATCCAAACCATTCCATGGGGATGGATCCTGGGAGGGGTGGGATCTCTGGGATGGACCCCCCTGTGTTCTTCCTGAGGGGGGGGGAATCCCACCCTGCCAATTCCAGAGGGGGGAAATTTGGGTTCCATGGATGAACCCCCCACTCTGGGGGGGTTCCAGCCTGGAGAGACCCCCAGGAGTGGGACGGGATGAGCTTTAATTCCATCCTAACCCATTCCAAAGGGATGGATCCTGGGAGGGGTGGGATCTCCCATGTCCTGAGGGGGGGGAATCCCACCCTGCCAATTCCAGAGGGGGAAATTTGGGTTCCATGGATGAGCCCCCCCTACTCTGGGAGGTTCCAGCTTGGAAAGACCCCCAGGAGTAGGATGGGATGAGCTTTAATTCCATCCTAACCCACCCCATTCCATAGGGATGGATCCTGGGAGGGGTGGGATCTCTGGGATGGACCCCCCTGTGTTCTTCCTGAGGGGGGGAAATCCCACCCTGCCAATTCCAGAGGGGGGAAATTTGGGCTCCATGGATGAGCCCCCCACTCTGGGGGTGTCCAGCTTGGAAAGACCCCCAGGAGTGGGACAGGATGAGCTTTAATTCCCTTCCCAACCCATTCCACAGGGAAGGATCCCGGGCTGGGTGGGACCTCCCGTGTCCTGAGGGGGGGAATCCCACCCTGCCAATTCCAGAGGGGGGAAATTTGGGTTCCATGGATGAGCCCCCCATTCTGGGGGGGTTCCAGCTTGGAAAGACCCCCAGGAGTGGGACGGGATGAGCTTTAATTCCCTTCCCACCCCACCCCATTCCAAAGGGATGGATCCTGGGAGGGGTGGGATCTCTGGGATGGACCCCCCTGTGTTCTTCCTGAGGGGGGGGAATCCCACCCTGCCAATTCCAGAGGGGGAAATTTGGGTTCCATGGATGAGCCCCCCACTCTGGGAGGGTTCCAGCTTGGAAAGACCCCCAGGAGTGGGACGGGATGAGCTTTAATTCCCTTCCCAACCCACCCCATTCCATGGGGAAGGATCCTGGGAGGGGTGGGATCTCTGGGATGGACCCCCCTGTGTTCTTCCTGAGGGGGGGGAATCCCACCCTGCCAATTCCAGAGGGGGAAATTTGGGCTCCATGGATGAGCCCCCCATTCTGGGGGGGTTCCAGCTTGGAAAGACCCCCAGGAGTGGGACGGGATGAGCTTTAATTCCCTTCCCACCCCACCCCATTCCATGGGGATGGATCCTGGGCTGGGTGGGATCTCTGGGATGGACCCCCCTGTGTTCTTCCTGAGGGGGGGGAATCCCACCCTGCCAATTCCAGAGGGGGAAATTTGGGTTCCATGGATGAGCCCCCCACTCTGGGGGGTGTCCAGCTTGGAAAGACCCCCAGGAGTGGGGACGGGATGAGCTTTAATTCCCTTCCTAACCCATTCCAAATGGATGGATCCTGGGAGGGGTGGGATCTCTGGGATGGACCCCCCTGGGTTCTTCCTGAGGGGGGGGAAATCCCACCCTGCCAATTCCAGAGGGGGGAAATTTGGGTTCCATGGATGAGCCCCCCACTCTGGGGGGTTTCCAGCTTGGAAAGACCCCCAGAAGGGGGGACGGGATGAGCTTTAATTCCCTTCCCAACCCATTCCATAGGGATGGATCCCAGGAGGGGTGGGATCTCTGGGATGGACCCCCTTGGGGGGAATCCCACCCTGCCAATTCCAGAGGGGGGAAATTTGGGCTCCATGGATAAACCCCCCACTCTGGGGGGTATCCAGACTGGAGAGACCCCCAGGAGGGGGGACGGGATGAGCTTTAATTCCCTTCCCAACCCACCCCAAAGGGATGGATCCTGGGAGGGGTGGGATCTCTGGGATGGACCTCCCTGTGTTCTTCCTGAGGGGGGGAATCCCACCCTGCCAATTCCAGAGGGGGAAATTTGGGTTCCATGGATGAGCCCCCCACTCTGGGGGGTTCCAGCCTGGAGAGACCCCCAGGAGTGGGACGGGATGAGCTTTAATTCCCTTCCCAACCCCACCCCATTCCATAGGGATGGATTCCAGGAGGGGTGGGATCTCTGGGATGGACCCCCCTTTGTTCTTCCTGATGGGGGGGGAATCCCACCCTGCCAATTCCAGAGGGGGGAAATTTGGGTTCCATGGATGAGCCCCCCCCTACTCTGGGGGGTATCCAGACTGGAGAGACCCCCAGGAGGGGGGATGGGATGAGCTTTAATTCCCTTCCCAAACCATTCCATAGGGATGGATCCTGGGAGGGTGGGATCTCTGGGATGGACCTCCCTGTGTTCTTCCTGAGGGGGGGAATCCCACCCTGCCAATTCCAGAGGGGGAAATTTGAGTTCCATGGATGAGCCCCCCACTCTGGGGGGGTTCCAGCTTGGAAAGACCCCCTGGGAGGGGGGATGGGATGAGCTTTAATTCCATCCTAACCCATTCCATGGGGATGGATCCTGGGAGGGGCGGGATCTCTCGTGTCCTGAGGGGGGGGAATCCCACCCTGCCAATTCCAGAGGGGGAAATTTTGGTTCCATGGATGAGCCCCCCATTCTGGGGGGGTTCCAGCTTGGAAAGACCCCCAGGAGTGGGGGATGGGATGAACTTTAATTCCCTTCCCACCCCACCCCATTCCACAGGGAAGGATCCCGGGCAGGTCGGGACCTCCCAGCACGGCCCCCCCCGCGTGTCCCAGGAGAGAATCCCACCCCATTCCCAACCCCCACCCCATTCACCCACGCCCCCCCACGCCCCCACTCCTCCCCGTGTCCCGGTGCCTCCAAACCCCCCGGCCGTACCGGGGGTGCCCGAACCGCGTCTCATCCACGCAGGAACTCCGGACCCTCCTCCTCCCGGGGCCGGGCTGGGAGGTCTCGGGACCCCGGAGCTGCCGCCATGTCGCGACTGTCGCGATATGAGCGAGGAGGGGTGAGAAAAGGAGCGACCGTTGCCACGGCAACGCTCCCAACGGCACCCGACACGCGGGGGGGAGCGGTCACGGTCACGGGTAGGGGGACACAAAAATGACGGGAAAAACACCCCAAAAATCAAAGCAAAGCGTGGGAAAATGAGCCGAAAGAACCAGAAATGAGGTTGGAGGGGAGGAAAGTCAGGTAAAAAGGGGAAAAAAATGAGAGAAAATCAGCAAAAAATGACCTGAAAGACTCGCAAAGTAAGTGCAAAGAGTGAAAAAAATGAGCCAAAAGACCCCAAAATGAGCCTGGAGATGCACAAAATAAGCCCAAAGACTGAAAAAATGACCCAAAATTCACCAAAAAATGACCTGAAAGACCCCCAAAATAAGTCCAAAGGCTGAAAAAAATGACCCAAAATACCCCGAAATGAGCTTGAAAGATGCACAAAATCAGTCCAAAGGCTGAAAAAATGACCCAAAAGACCCACAAATGAGCTCAAAGACCCCCAAAATTCACCCAAGAGACCCAAAAATGAGCCCCAAAGACCCCCAAAATCAGCCCAAAGGCCAAAAATTGAACCCAAAGACCCCCAGATGAGAATAAAGACCCCCAAAATCAGCCCAAAGACTGAAAAAGTGACACTGGGGAGGGAGTGGGATAGGACTGGGATGCACTGGGATGGCACTGGGGTGGATTGAGGGCACTGGGGAGGGCTTGGAATGGGATTGGGATGCACTGGGATGCACTGGGATGGCATTGGGATGCAACTGGGATGCACTGGGATGGGATTGGGGCAATGGGGAGGGACTGGGGTGCAGTGGGATGGGAGTGGGATGGGACTGGGGGCACTGGGAAGGGCCTGAGATGGGACTGGGATGGAACTGGAATGCACTGGGGAGGAACTGGGGTGCACTAGGAAGGGCTTGGAATGGGACTGGAGGAACTGGGATGCACTGGGATGGGACTAGGATGGGACTGGGGTCACTGGGACAGGATTGGGGCACTGGGGAGGAACTGGGGTGCACTGGGATGCACTGGGATGCACTGGGATGGCACTGGGATGGCACTGGGATGGCACTGGGGGCACTGGGATGGCACTGGGATGGCACTGGGGGCACTGGGATGGTACTGGGATGGATTGAGGGTATTGGGGAGGGCTTGGAATGGGACTGGGATGCACTGGGATGGCACTGGGACGAGATTGGGGCACTGGGGAGGGACTGGAATGAGACTGGGATGGGACTGGGGCACTGGGGAGGGACTGGGATGAGACTGGGATGCACTGGGATGGGACTGGGATGGCACTGGGATGGGATTGGGGTACTGGGATGGCACTGGGATGGCACTGAAAGGCTGATGGACTGGGATGCACTGGGGAGGAACTGGAGTGCACTGGGAAGGGTTTAGAATGGGACTAGGGGCACTGGGACAGGGTTGGGGCACTGGGGAGGAACTGGGGTGCACTGGGGTGCACTGGGATGGCACTGGGGTGCACTGGGATGGCACTGGGATGGCACTGGGATGGCATTGAGGTGCACTGGGATGGCACTGGGATGGCACTGGGGGGGGACTGGGATGCACTGGGATGCACTGGGATGGCACTGGGATGGCACTGGGATGGCACTGGAGGGACTGGGATGGCACTGGGATGGCACTGGGATGGCACTGGGGTGCACTGGGATGCACTGGGATGCACTGGGATGGCACTGGGATGCACTGGGATGGCACTGGGGGCACTGGGGCAGTTTAGGGCTGCGCTCCTACAAGCGAACGATCGCCCTTGCCATTCCCCCCTTCCCCATTCCCTTTTCCTCCTTAATCCCCTTTTTCCCCAAAACCCCTTCCCCTAAAAATCCCCTTTACCCCCAAAAACCCTTTTTCCCCAAAATCCCCTTTTCCCAAAAAAACCCCTTTTCCCCAAAAAATCCCCTTTTCCCAAAGATCCCCTTTTCCCCCAAACCCCCTTTTTCCCAAAATCCCGTTTTCCCCAAAACCCCTTTTTCCCCCCAAATCTCCTTTTCCTCAAACTCCCTTTTCCCCAAAATCCCCTTTTTCTCCCAAAATCCCCCCTTTACCCCAAACTCCCCTTTTCCCCAAAACCTCCTTTTCCTCTAAAACCCCCTTTTCCCCCAAAATCCCTTTTTCCCCCCCCAAACCCCTTTTTCCTCAAAACACTTTCCCCAAAATCACCTTTTTCCCCAAAATCCCTTTTCCCTCAAAAACCCCTTTTTCCCAAAAAATCCTTTTCCTCAAAATCCCCTTTCCCCCAAAATTTCCCTTTCCCCAAAACCCCCTTTTCCCAAAATCCCTTTTCCCCCAAAATCCCCTTTTTCCCTAAAAACCCCTTTTTCCCGAAAAACCCCTTTTTCCTAAAAAAATCCCCTTTTCCCAAAATCCCTTTTCCCCAAAATCCCCTTTTCCCCCAAAATCCGCTCTTCTGCTCACTTCAGCCCCGCTCGTTCCGCCCCCGCGCGGTGCACGCCGGGACTCGCAGTCCCCTCCGCGCTGCCCTCCCCGCTCCCCTCACCCCACCGCCTCCATTCCCCATCGCCCCCCGCGCCGCCCCCGCTTGGCCTCCTGGGATTTGTAGTCCCGCTCCCCATCCAACCCCGCTGTCCTCGCCGCTCTCGGAACTACAAGTGCCATCACCCCCCCGGGCGGCGCTGGAGGAGCGGCGGAGCAGGCGAAGATGGCGGCGGCGGGCGCGGGGGCCGGGCCCGGGCCCGGCGCGGGGCCCTCGGCGGGCGCGGGGGCTTCGAACCCCCGCAAGTTCAGCGAGAAGATCGCGCTGCAGAAGCAGCGGCAGGCGGAGGAGACGGCGGCCTTCGAGGAGGTCATGATGGAGATCTGCTCCACACGGGTCAGCGCTGGAGGCCGCCCCGCCGGATGCGCCGCGGGGAGAGCGGGGAGCGGGCGGGGGGGAACCCTGAGGGGATGGCGTGGGGTAGGGGGACTGAGGGGTCGTGAGGGGATGGCGTGGGGTAGGGGGACTGAGGGGTTGTGAAGGGACGAGGAGGGTCGTGAGGGGACGGATGGGGAAGCCCTGAGGGGATGGCGATGGGGGGACACTGAGGGGTCGTGAGGGGACCCGGGGTGAGCCCTGAGGGGATGGCGATGGGGGGACACTGAGGGGTCGTGAGGGGACGGGATGGGGAAGCCCTGAGGATGGCGATGGGGACACTGAGGGTCGTGAGGGACCCGGGGTGAGCCCTGAGGGATGGCGATGGGGGACACTGAGGGGTCGTAGGGGACCTGGGGGAACCCTGAGGGATGGCGATGAGGGACACTGAGGGGTCGTGAGGACGGGAGGGGAGCCCTGAGGGATGGCGAGGAGTGGGGAATGAGGGTCGTGAGAGGGACTGAGGGGTCGTAGGGGACCTGGGGAAGCCCTGAGGGGATGGCTATGGGGGACACTGAGGGGTCGTAGGGGACCCGGGGAGCCCTGAGGGGATGGCAGGTGGAGGGAATGAGGGGTCGAGAGGGACTGAGCGTGGGGTAGGGGCACTGAGGGGACTGAGGGGACCTGAGGGGAACCCTGAGGGGATGGCGAGGGTGGGAGGAATGAGGGTCATGAGGGGACAGGAGGAAGCCCTGAGGGGACGGGGAGGGTCGTGAGGGGCTCCGGAGTTGGGGGTGAGCCCTGAGGGATAGCGCGGTGAGGGGACTGAGGGGGTCGTAGGGGACCTGAGGAGGGTCGTGAGGGGACTGAGGGGGTCGTGATGGGGACTGAGGGATGGCGATGGGGGGACACTGAGGGGTCGTGGAGGGGACAGGAGGCGGACCCCTGAGGGGATGGCAAGGGGAGGAATGAGGAGTCGTAGAGGGGGACTGAGGGGTCGTGAGGGGACTGGAGGGGGTCGATGGGCCCTGAGGCGGGAGAGACCTGAGGGGTCATGAGGGACTGAGGGGGTCGTGATGGGCCCCAGGGCTAGAGAAGCCCTGAGGGGATGGCGAGGGTAGAGGGACTGAGGGTCGTGAGGGGACGAGGAAGGTCGTGATGGGCCCCAGGGTTGGGGGAAGCCCTGAGGATGACGCAGGGGTGGAGGGGACTGAGGGGGTCGTGAGGGGACCTGAGGAGGGTCGTGATAGACCCGGGGGAGGTGGTGATGGGGATGAGGGTTGGGGAGCCAGAGGGGTTGGAGGGGGTCCTGGACTGAGGGGTCATGAGGGGTGGGGGACTAGGGCAGTGAGGGGAGAATCTGGGGAGTTTGAGGGTCCGGGAGGGATGGGAAGGCTTGGGGGTGAGGGGTCCAGGGGGATGGGAAGGCTTTGGGGGTGTGAGGGTCCAGGGGATGAGAAGGTCTTGGGGATTAGAGGGACCCGGGCGGGGCTCTGAGGGGCTTGGGGAGGAGGGGAAGTTGGAGGGGACCAGGGGACTGCAAAGAGTTTGGAGGTTTAAAGGGGTCTGGAGGATGGGAAGCTTTTGGGGAGTTTGAAGGGTCCAGGGGATGGGAAGGTTTTGGGGAGTTTGAAGGGTCCAGGGGGATGGGAAGGTTTTTGGGGTGGTTGAGGGTCCAGGGGATGGGAAGGTTTTTGGGGTTTAGAATGTCCGAGAGAGGATGGGAAGGTTTTGGGGGGTTTAAGTGGTCCGGGAGGGATGGGAAGGTTTTTGAGGGTGAGGTCCAGGGGGATGAGAAGGTTTTAGGGGGATTAGAGGGACCCGGGGGCTCTGAGGGCTTGAGGAGGATGGGAAGTTGGAGGGATCAGGGGACTGTGAAGAGTTTGGGGTGTTTAAAGGGGTCTGAGGGGGAAGGTTTTGGGGGTTAGAGGAGGGATGGAAGGTTTTTGGGAAGGGTTAGAGGGTCCAGGGGTAGGGGAAGTTTTGGGGTTAAAGGGGTCTGAGGTGATGGAACATTTTGGGGTTTGAAGGGTCCAGGGATGGGGAAAGGTTTTGGGGGTTGAAGGGTCCAGGAAGGATGGGAAGGTTTTGGGAAGGGTTTGAAGGGTCCAGGGAGATGGAAGCTTTTGGGAAGGGTTTGAAGGGTCCAGGGGATGGGAAGCTTTTTGGGGTGGTTGAAGGAGTCCAGTGGGATGGGAAGGTTTTTGGGGGGTTTGAAGGGTCCAGGGGATGGGAAGGGTTTGGGGAGGGTTTGAAGGGTTCAGGAGGATGGGAAGGTTTAGGGGGTTTGAAGGGTCCAGGGGATGGGAAGGTTCTGGGGGTTAGAGGGTCCAGAGGGGATGGGAAGGTTTTTTTGGGGGGTTGAAGGGTCCAGGGAGGATGGGAAGGTTTTTGGGAAGGGTTTGAAGGGTCCAGAGGGGATGGGAAGGTTTTTGGGAAGGGTTTGAAGGGTCCAGGGAGGATGGGAAGGTTTTTGGGAAGGGTTTGAAGGGTCCAGAGGGGATGGGAAGGTTTTGGGGGGGTTTGAAGGGTCCAGGGGGATGGGAAGGTTCTGGGGGGGGTTTGAAGGGTCATTCCCGGCAGAGCTTTGGGCTGGAGAAGGGAGAGGGGGCAGTGTGGGATCCAGGGAGACAGGGACAGGCCCTTCCAGAAGAGAAAACTCATGGAGACAGCCAGCAGAGCTTTAAAATCCAGGAATTTTGGGGTGGGAGAGCCCCAGCTCTGAGGGGATCCGGGATGTCACTGATGGGGTGACACAGGGACATCCCTGGAGAGTTTGGGAAGGGGCTGGAACATCCCAGGAGAGTTTGGGAATGGGCTGGAGCATCCCATGGAGAGTTTGGGAAGGGGCTGGAGCCTCCCAGCAGAGTTTGGGAAGGGGCTGGAGCATCCCTGGAGAGTTTGGGAAGGGGCTGGAGCTCCACTGCGGATTCCATGGAGAGTTTGGGAAGGGGCTGGAATATCCCAGGAGAGTTTGGGAAGGCTGGAACATCCCAGGAGAGTTTGGGAAGGGGCTGGAGCATCCCTGGAAAGTTTGGGGATAGGCTAGAGCATCCCTGGAGAGTTTGGGAATGGGCTGGAGCATCCCAGGAGAGTTTGGGATTGGGCTGGAGCATCCCAGGAGAGTTTGGGAAGGGGCTGGAGCATCCCAGGAGAGTTTGGGAAGGGGTTGGAGCATCCCAGGAGAGTTTGGGAAGGGGCTGGAACATCCATGGAGAGTTTGGGAATGGGCTGGAACATCCCAGGAGAGTTTGGGAAGGGGCTGGAGCATCCCAGGAGAGTTTGGGAATGGGCTGGAGTCTCCTGCGGATCCCAGGAGAGTTTGGGAAGGGGCTGGAGCATCCCAGGAGAGTTTGGGAAGGGGCTGGAGCATCCATGGAGAGTTTGGGAAGGGGCTGGAATATCCCAGGAGAATTTGGGAAGGGGCTGGAACATCCCTGGAGAGTTTGGGAAGGGGCTGGAACATCCCAGGAGAATTTGGGAAGGGCTGGAACATCCAGGAGAGTTTGGGAAGGGCTGAGCATCCCTGGAGAGTTTGGGAATGGGCTGGAACATCCATGGAGAGTTTGGGAAGGGGCTGGAGCATCCCAGGAGAGTTTGGGATTGGGCTGGAACATCCCAGGAGAGTTTGGGAATGGGCTGGAACATCCATGGAGAGTTTGGGAAGGGGCTGGAGCATCCCAGGAGAATTTGGGAAGGGGCTGGAACATCCCAGGAGAGTTTGGGAATGGGCTGGAGCATCCCAGGAGAGTTTGGGAAATGGCTGGAACATCCCAGCAGAGTTTGGGAAGGGGCTGGAGCATCCCTGGAGAGTTTGGGAAGGGGCTGGAACATCCCAGGAGAGTTTGGGAAGGGGCTGGAGCATCCCAGGAGAATTTGGGAAGGGGCTGGAGTCATCCCAGGAGAGTTTGGGATTGGGCTGGAGCATCCCAGGAGAGTTTGGGAAGGGGCTGGAGCCTCCCCCGCGCTTCCATGGGCCGGGATTTTGGGAATGGCTGGGGCTGTGTTTGCAGAGCAAACAGCTGGTTAATGTGCAGCCTGTCCTGATCCCTCCTGGAATGGCTCCTCTGGGAATTCAGCCCCCCATCCCTTCCCAGGACCATTCCCCAGGGAATCCCTGCCCTGATCCCTCCTGGAATGGCTCCTCCAGGAATTCAGCCCCCCATCCCTTCCCAGGACCATTCCCCAGGGAATCCCTGCCCTGATCCCTCCTGGAATGGCTCCTCCGGGAATTCAGCCCCCCATCCCTTCCCGGGACCATTCCCCAGGGAATCCCTCCCCTGATCCCTCCTGGAATGGCTCCTCCAGGAATTCAGCCCCATCCTTCCTGGGACCATTCCCAGGAATCCCTCCCTGATCCCTCCTGGAATGGCTCCTCTGGGAATTCAGCCCCCATCCCTTCCCAGGACCATTCCCAGGGAATCCCTGCCCTGATCCCTCCTGGAATGGCTCCTCTAGGAATTCAGCCCCCCAATCCCTTCCCAGGACCATTCCCCAGGGAATCCCTGCCCTGATCCCTCCTGGAATGGCTCCTCCAGGAATTCAGCCCCCCATCCCTTCCCAGGACCATTCCCCAGGGAATCCCTGCCCTGATCCCTCCTGGAATGGCTTCTCCAGGAATTCAGCCCCCCATCCCTTCCCAGGACCATTCCCCAGGGAATCCCTCCCCTGATCCCTGCCCTGGTTCCTTTGGGATCTATTCCCAGATCCTGGGCTCCCTGTGGGATCCTGGCTCGGAGCAGGATCCCAATCCCGATCCCATAACCCCCAGGCACCAATCCCTGAAGCTCCTGCTTTTTTTGGGGTTGTTTTCCTGGGTTTTTTTTCCCCCTCTGGATCTCGATTCCCGGGGTTTGAAGCTGGGGAATTTGGCTTTTCTTGAATCCCAGGGAATCCTTCCTTCCCTGTGGATTGGGATGGGGGAAACACTCCTTTCCTATGGATTGGGATTAGGGAAATTCTCCTTCTCTATGGATTGGGATCAGGGAAACCCTCCTTCCCTATGGATTGGGATCAGGGAAATGCTCCTTCCCTGTGGATTGGGATCAGGGAAACCCTCCTTCCCTGTGGATTGGGAACAGGAAAACTCTCATTCCCTGTGGATTGGGAACAGGAAAACTCTCATTCCCTGTGGATTGGGAACAGGGAAACCCCTCTTCCCTGTGGATTGGAACAGGAAAACTCTCATTCCCTGTGGATTGGGATCAGGGAAACCCTCCTTCCCTGTGGATTGGGATCAGGGAAACCCTCCTTCCCTGTGGATTGGGAAGAGGGAAACGCCCTCTCCTCGTGCTTTGGGATCAGGGAATCCCTCCTTGCCCCTTCCCTGGGTGGGGACGAGACCCCCTGGCCGGGATTTTCCCTGGGATCCCGTTTATCTCCGGCTGTGCCGTCACCTGCTTCCCCAGCCTTGAGCCCCGGGCTGGCCTTGGCTTGGACGAGGTGCCCGCTGGAAAAATCCCGCTGGAAAATCCTGCTGGCAAATCCCTGGGGATCCACAGAGCCCACTGGAAAATCCTGCTGGCAAATCCCTGGGGATCCACAGAGCCCACTGGAAAATCCTGCTGGCAAATCCCTGGGGATCCACAGAGCCCACTGGAAAATCCTGCTGGCAAATCCCTGGGGATCCCCAGAGCCCGGATCCCACTCCAGGGATTTGGGAATGGGATGTGGGATTTGGGATTTGGGATGGGCAGACCCTCATCCTTCCCCTCTGGGCTCCTGATCCTCCTCCTTCCCACTCTGGAGCATCCCTGGATGCGGGATGGGGGTCTCTGGAGCGGGGAGGGGTCGGACCACCCTCCCCCCCCGACTGGGATCATCACTCTCAGGGGGATGCTGGGGGAAGGGCTGCAGTGGGGAGGTGGGAGGGATTTGGGGGCTCTGACCCCCAGCTCTCCTCAACCCTCTGATATTGCCCCTGTGTCCCCTATCTTCACATGTCCTCCTTCTCATCCTTCTCATGTGTCCCTGTGTGTCCCCAATGTCCCTCTGTGTCCCTCATGTCCCCTCCATCCCTCCTGTCCTCCCCATCCCTCCCATGTCCTCCCCATTCCTGCCATGTCCCTCCATCTCTCCCATGTCCCCCCATCCCTTCCATGTCCCTCCCATCCCTCCCATGTCCCCTCCCATGTCCCCCATCCCTCCCATGTCCCTCCATCCCTCCCATGTCCCTCCATCCCTCCCATGTCCTCCATCCCTCCCATGTCCCCTCCATCTCCCCATGTCCCTCCATCGCTCCCCATGTCCTCCCCATCCTCCCATGTCCTCATGTCCTCTCATCCTCCCATGTGTCCCTATGTGTCCCCACATGTCCCTCCCATCCCCCATGTCCCTCCCATGTCCCTCCATTCCTCCCATGTCCCCCCATGTCCTCCCATGTCCCTCATGTCCCTCATCCTCCCCACGTGTCCCCCCATCCCCCATGTCCCCTCCCATCCCTCCCCATGTCCTCCCCATCCCTCCCATGTCCCCCCATCCCTCCCATGTCCCCCATCCCTCCCATGTCCCCCATCCTCATCCCCATCCTCCATGTCCCCCATCCTCCCATGTCCCTCCCATGTCCCCTCCATCATGCCCTCCCATGTCCCCTCCATCCCCACCATGTCCCCTCCCATGTCCCCCAATCCCTCCCATGTCCCCCCATCCCTCCCATGTCTCTCCCATTCCTCCCACATGTCACCCATGTCCTCCCTTCCCCACCATATCCCCCATGTTCCTCCATGTTCCTCCCATCCTTTCCATGTCCCCCCATGTCCTCCCATGTCCCCCCATGTCCCCCCATGTCCCCCTGTCCCCTGCCCCCCCAGCTGCAGGCCCAGAAGCTGCGCTTGGCCCACGGGCGGGGTCCGTTCTACAGCGGCTCCCTGCCCAACGTCAACCAGATCGGCTCCGGCCTGCCCGACTTCCCGGTGAGATGGGGGGCTCTGGGGGGCTGCACCCCCACCCAGGGGGCTCTGGGGGGCTGCACCCACACCAGGGGGGTCTAGGGGGCTGCACCCACACCCAGGGGGCTCTGGGGGCTGCACCCACACCCAGGGGCTCTGGGGCTGCACCCACACCCAGGGGCTCTGGGGGGCTGCATCCCCACCCAGGGGGCTCTGGGGCTGCATCCCCATCCAGGGGCTCTGGGGGCTGCACCCCAACCAGGGGGGTCTAGGGGGCTGCACCCACACCAGGGGGGCTCTGGGGGGCTGCACCCCCACCCAGGGGGCTCTGGGGGGCTGCACCGGCTGCTGCACCCAGGGGGGTCTGGGGGGCTGCACCCCCACCCAGGGGGGCTCTGGGGGGCTGCATCCCCACCCAGGGGGCTCTGGGGGGCTGCACCCACACCAGGGGGGTTGGAGCTGCAGGGGGGACAGGGGATGGTCCCTGAGCCTCCTCCCAGCTCTGGGGCTGAGCGGGGACTGGTCCTGAGTCCCCTTCCCAGTGGGATCACTGGCCTTTCCTCAGCCCCCTTTCCAGTGGGATCACTGCCCTTTCCTCAGCCCCATTCCCAGTGGGATCATTGGCCTTTCCTCAGCCCCCTTCCCAGTGGGATCATCTGTTCCTTCTCCTGACCTCCATTCCCCAGTGTTCTCACCTGTCTCCCCCTTTCCTGAGCCCTGTCCCAGGGGTCTCCCTGTCCCCATTCCAGGGGGTCTCCCTGTCCCCATTCCTGGGGGTCTCCCTGTCCACGTTCCCAGGGGTCTCCCTGTCCCTGTTCCTGGGGGTCTCCCTTTCCCTATCCCAGGGGTCTCCCTGTCCCTATCCCAGGTGTCTCCCTGTCCCCATTCCCAGGTGTCTCCCTGTCCCTATTCCAGGGGGTCTCCCTGTCCACGTTCCCAGGGGTCTCACTGTCCCTATTCCCAGGGGTCTCCCTGTCCCCATTCCCAGGGGTCTCCTGTCCCTGTCCCCGTTCCCAGGGGTCTCCCTGTCCCTGTTCCGGGGGTCTCCCTGTCCCTATTCCCAGGTGTGTCCCTATCCCAGGGGTCTCCCTGTCCCTATCCCAGGGGTCTCCCTGTCCCTATTCCCGGGGGTCTCCCTGTCCCTATCCCAGGTGTCTCTCTGTCCCTATCCCAGGGGTCTCCCTGTCCCCATTCCCAGGGGTCTCCCTGTCCCTATTCCCAGGTGTGTCCTTATCCCAGGGGTCTCCCTGTTCCTATTCCCGGGGGTCTCCCTGTCCCTATTCCCAGATGTGTCCTTATCCCAGGGGTCTCCCTGTCCCCATTCCCAGGGGTCTCCCTGTCCCTATTCTTGGGGGTCTCCCTGTCCCCATTCCCAGGGGTCTCCCTGTCCCTGTCCACATTCCCTGGGGGTGTCCCCATTCCCGGGGGTCTCACTGTCCCTATTCCCGGGGGTCTCCCTGTCCCCATTCCCAGGGTCTCCCTGTCCCTGTCCACATTCCTGGGTGTGTCCTCATTCCCGGGGGTCTCACTGTCCCTGTCCCTATTCCCGGGGGTCTCCCTGTCCCCATTCCCAGGGGTCTCACTGTCCTTGTCCCCATTCCCAGGGGTCTCACTGTCCCTATTCCCAGGGGTCTCCCTGTTCCTGGGGGTCTCCCTGTCCCTATTCCCAGGGGTCTCCCTGTTCCTGGGGGTCTCACTGTCCCTGTTCCTGGGGGTCTCCCTGTCCCTATTCCAGGGGTCTCCCTGTCCCCATTCCTGGGGGTCTCCCTGTCCCTGTCCTCAGGTGTGTCCCTATTCCCAGGGGTCTCCCTGTCCCCATTCCAGGGGGTCTCACTGTCCCTATTCCCAGGTGTGTCCCTATCCCAGGGGTCTCCCTGTCCCCATTCCCAGGGGTCTCCCTGTCCCTATCCCAAGGGGTCTCACTGTCCCTATTCCCAGGTGTGTCCCTATCCCAGGGGTCTCCCCGTCCCCATTCCCGGGGGTCTCACTGTCCCTATCCCAGGGGTCTCCCTGTCCCCATTCCTGGGGTCTCACTGTCCCTGTCCCCGCAGGGCCCGTCCCCTCTGGACTCCACTCGGAGCACGCGGCACCACGGGCTGGTGGAGCGGGTGCAGCGGGACCCCCGCCGGATGGTGTCCCCCCTGCGGCGCTACGTCCGCCAGATATCCTCCAAACTGCTCCCATTCCCTGCTCCTCATCCTCCAAACTGCTCCTGATCCTCCAAACTGCTCCCATTCCCTGCTCCTGATCCTCCAGCCTGCTCCTGATCCTTCATCCTGCTCCCATTCCCTGCTCCTGATCCTCCATCTGCTCCCATTCCCTGCTCCTGATCCTCCAAACTGCTCCCATTCCCTGCTCCTGATCCTCCATCTGCTCCCATTCCCTGCTCCTCATCCTCCAGCCTGCTCCTGATCCTCCATCCTGCTCCCATTCCCTGCTCCTGATCCTCCATCCTGCTCCCATTCCCTGCTCCTGATCCTCCATCCTGCTCCCATTCCCTGCTCCTGATCCTCCAGCCTGCTCCTGATCCTCCAACCTGCTCCCATTCCCTGCTCCTGATCCTCCATCCTGCTCCCATTCCCTGCTCCTGATCCTCCATCATGCTCCCATTCCCTGCTCCTGATCCTCCATCCTGCTCCCATTCCCTGCTCCTGATCCTCCATCCTGCTCCCATTCCCTGCTCCTGATCCTCCAAACTGCTCCTGATCCTCCATCTGCTCCCATTCCCTGCTCCTCATCCTCCATCCTGCTCCTGATCCTCCATCCTGCTCCCATTCCCTGCTCCTGATCCTCCAGCCTGCTCCTGATCCTCCAAACTGCTCCCATTCCCTGCTCCTGATCCTCCAAACTGCTCCTGATCCTCCATCTGCTCCCATTCCCTCCTCCTGATCCTCCATCCTGCTCCCATTCCCTGCTCCTGATCCTCCAGCCTGCTCCCATTCCCTGCTCCTGATCCTCCAGCCTGCTCCTGATCCTCCATCCTGCTCCCATTCCCTGCTCCTGATCCTCCAGCCTGCTCCTGCTCCTCCATCCTGCTCCCATTCCCTGCTCCTGCTCCTCCATCCTGCTCCCATTCCCTGCTCCTGATCCTCCAGCCTGCTCCTGATCCTCCATCCTGATCCTCCAGCCTGCTCCTGATCCTTCATCCTGGCCTTTCCCTGCTCCTGATCCTCCATCCTGCTCCCATTCCCTGCTCCTGATCCTCCAAACTGCTCCCATTCCCTGCTCCTGATCCTCCAAACTGCTCCCATTCCCTGCTCCTCATCCTCCAACCTGCTCCTGATCCTCCAAACTGCTTCCATTCCCTGCTCCTGATCCTCCATCCTGCTCCTGCTCCTCCATCCTGCTCCCATTCCCTGCTCCTGCTCCTCCATCCTGCTCCTCATTCCCATGCTCCTGCTCCTTCATCCCGATCCTATTCCCTGCTCCTGATCCTCCAGCCTGACCTTTCCCTGTTCCTGATCCTCCATCCTGCTCCCATTCCCTGCTCCTATTCCTTTATCCTGCTCCCATTTCCTGCTCCTATTCCTTTATACTGCTTATTCCTGCTCCTGTTGCTCCTGCTCTTCATCCCAGTCCCATTCCCTGCTCCTGCTCCTTTATCCCGCTCCCATTTCCTGCTCTTCATCCCAGTCCCATTCCCTGCTCTTCATCCCAGTCCCATTCCCTGCTCCTTCATCCCAGTCCCATTCCCTGTTCCTTCATCCCAGTCCCATTCCCTGTTCCTTCATCCCAGTCCCATTCCCTGCTCTTCATCCCAGTCCCATTCCCTGTTCTTCATCCCAGTCCCATTTCCTGCTCTTCATTCCAGTCCCATTCCCTGCTCTTCATCCCAGTCCCATTCCCTGCTCTTCATCCCAGTCCCATTCCCTGTTCCTTCATCCCAGTCCCATTCCCTGCTCTTCATCCCAGTCCCATTCCCTGCTCTTCATCCCGCTCCCATTCCCCGCTCTTCATCCCAGTCCCATTCCCTGCTCTTCATCCCAGTCCCGTTCCCTGCTCCTTCATCCCAGTCCCATTCCTGCTCTTCATCCCAGTCCCATTCCTGCTCTTCATCCCAGTCCCATTTCCTGCTCCTTCATCCCAGTCCCATTTCCTGCTCTTCATCCCAGTCCCACTCCCTGCTCTTCATCCCAGTCCCATTCCCTGCTCCTTCATCCCAGTCCCATTCCCTGCTCTTCATCCTGCTCCCATTCCCTGCTCTTCATCCTGCTCCCATTCCCTGTTCCTTCATCCCAGTCCCCTTCCGTACTCTTCATCCCAGTCCCATTCCCTGCTCTTCATCCCAGTCCCATTCCTGCTCTTCATCCTGCTCCCATTCCCTGCTCTTCATCCCAGTCCCATTCCCTGCTCTTCATCCTGCTCCCATTCCCTGCTCTTCATCCTGCTCCCATTCCCTGTTCCTTCATCCCAGTCCCATTCCCTGCTCTTCATCCCAGTCCCATTCCCTGCTCTTCATCCCAGTCCCATTCCCTGTTCCTTCATCCCAGTCCCATTCCCTGTTCCTTCATCCCAGTCCCATTCTCTGCTCTTCATCCCACTCCCCTTCCCTGCTCTTCATCCCAGTCCCATTCCCTGCTCTTCATCCCAGTCCCATTCCCTGCTCTTCATCCCAGTCCCATTCCCTGCTCTTCATCCTGCTCCCATTCCCTGCTCCTTCATCCCAGTCCCATTCTCTGCTCTTCATCCCAGTCCCATTCCTGCTCCTTCATCCCAGTCCCATTCCTGCTCCTTCATCCCAGTCCCATTCCCTGCTCTTCATCCCAGTCCCATCCCCTGCTCTTCATCCTGCCCCCATTCCCTACTCTTCATCCTGCCCCCATTCCCTGCTCCTGCTCCTTCATCCTGGTCCCCTTCCCCATCCCGTGGGATTTGGGATCCCCCCGCTGTCAGCGTGGCCCTTGACGCGCCCCCACATCGACAGCTCCCCGTACGGACCCACCTACCTGTCCCCTCCGCCCGAGCCCAGCTGGAGGAGGTAATTCCTGCCATTCCCTGCCATTCCCTGCCGTTCCCTGCCATTCCCTGCAGCCCCGGGGGCTCTTCCTGAGGCTCTGGAAGCGGGAGAGACCCCGGTGTTCCCGGGGGAATCCGCAGGGCTGGGATGTGGGAAGTGCTGCGGTGCCACGAGTGGGGTGGGGGGTCCTGCCTCTGGGATCCTGGGATTGTCCCACAAACTGTGTGTGGGGGTGGGAATTGGAGGAGGAATTCCAGGTGGGAGTGGGGATCCTGCCGTGGGGACAGGGATGGGGGACAAATCCAAGCTGGAGATGCATCCCTGGAGTCCCTGGAGTGGTGTTGTCCCTGTCCCTCCCAGCCCAGTCCCCTCTTCCCGCAGCTCCCAGCCCTCACCAGGGCATTCCCAGGGCAGGGAATGGGAATCACGGATCCCCAAGGGGTGTCCTGGCCCCCTCCCCCCCATCCTAATCCCAGTTTCTCCCTCCCCAAAAAAAAAAAGGACCATGCCTTGGAGCAACTTCCCGATGGAAAAAGGACATTTATTCCGGCTGCCCTCGGCTCTCAACAGGTTTGATCCCATTTTTTTCCCTCTTCCCTGTTTTCCAGACGGGATCCCTGGGGTGGGCACGGGGTTGGGACCCCTGGGGGAGGTGCAGGTGGCCCTGGGGACCCTGACAGGGCCCCCCATGAGGGGAGGGGTCCCCCTTGTCCCTGTGGCTTCTTCCCAGCCCTTCCCTGCCTCGGGATAACTAATTGGGAACACAATTTGGGGGGCAGAGGGGGGGTCTTGTTGTGCCCCCAGGCCTGGGGGTGAGGACTCTGGGAGGGAGATGGGGCTGGACCCCTGTGGGGGGCTGTGAGTAGGATGGGGGGCTGTAAATGGGGTGAGGGGCTGTAAATGGGGTGGAGGGGGCTGTAAATGGGGTGAGGGGAGCTGTAAATAGGGTGAGGGCTGTAAATGGGGAAAGGGGGCTGTAAATGGGATGGGGGGGCTGTAAATGGGGTGAGGGGCTGTAAATGGGGTAGGAGTGCTGTAAATGGGGTAAGGGCGCTGTAAATGGGGTGAGGGGGCTGTAAATAGAGTGGGGGGACTGTAAATGGGGTGAGGGGCCTGTAAATGGGGTGGGGGCTGTAAATGGGAGGGGCTGTAAATGGGGTAAGGGAGCTGTAAATGGGGTGAGGGGCTGTGAATGGGGTAAGGGGCTGTAAATGGGGTAGGGGGCTGTAAATGGAGTGGGGGACTGTAAATGGAGTGAGGGGACTGTAAATGGGAGTGGGGGGACTGTAAATGGGGTAAGGGAGCTGTAAATGGGGTGGAGGGGCTGTAAATGGGGTAAGGGGGTTGTAAATGGGGTAGGGGGCTGTAAATGGGGTGGGGGGCTGTAAATGGGGTAGGGGGCTGAAAATAGGGTAAAGGGAGCTGTAAATGGGGTGAGGGCCTGTAAATGGGGTGGGGGGACTGTAAATGGGGTAAGGGAGCTGTGAATGGGGTAAGAGGCTGTAAATGGGGTGAGGGGCCTGTAAATGGGGTGGGGGTCCCGGCTCCACGCCGTGATCCCCGTGGTTTTTAGGACGAACTCCGACTCGGCCCTGCACACGAGCGTGATGAACCCCCCTCCCCAGGACTCCTACCTGGGCCCCTCCCAGGCCGCCCCCCGCCCGGCAGACGCACGGGTGAGACCCCCCTCACCCCCAACCTCCTGGGGTCTCTGGGGGTCCACAACCCCTCCTCCCCCTCTCTGTGCCCCCTGACCCACCCACTCCCCACAGGTTTCCTGGACGGGGACTCGGACAACAAGGTGAGCCCACAGAGGTCCCAGGTGACAGCTGTGTCCCCCCGTGGGCTGGGGGGGCTGGAGATGTGACCCCCTCACCACTGACCTCCCCTCCCCTTTTTCCCAGTGTTTCTTTTCCAAGTGCCTCCCATCGAAGAGAACTTCGATGACAACAAGCACTCGCTGAAGCCCTGGGACACCAAGAGAGGTGTGTGGAGGGTGGTGGGGCCGTGGGGGTGTCCCCGTGGGGGTGTCCCCGTGGGGGTGGGGTGTCCCCCAATGTCCCCAAGGCCCCCTGGGCTGATCCCTGTGCCCTCTGACCCCACAGCTCTCGTCCTCCTCGGCACGGCCCGATCCTGCGAGGTCCCGGGAATCCAGTGAGTGGGGGGGATGATGGGGAGGGCACTGGGGAGAGGGCTGGAATGGGGGGATGGAGTGGGAGGGGGTGGAGTGGGGAGGGGCACTGAGAAGGGTTGGAACAGGGGGGGGCACTGGGAGGGGCTGGAATGGGGAGGGCACTGGGGAGGGACTGGAACGAGGAGGGGGCACTGGGAGGGGGCTGGAGTGGGGGGATGGATGGGGAGGGGGCACTGGGAGTGGCTGGGAACAGGGGAGGGCACTGGGGAGGGGCTGGAGTGGGGAGGGGGCACTGGGAGGGGGCTGGAATGGGAGGGGCTGGAGTGGGGAGGGGGCACTGGGGAGGGGCTGGAACGAGGAGGGGGCACTGGGGAGGGGCTGGAATGGGGAGGGGCTGGATGGGGAGGGGGCACTGGGAGGGGCTGGAGTGGGAAGGGGCACTGGGGAGGGGCTGGAGTGGGAGGGGGCACTGGGGAGGGGCTGGATGGGAGGGGGCACTGGGGAGGGGGCTGGAGTGGGGAGGGACTGGAGTGGGGAGGGGCACTGGGAGGGTTTGGAACGGAGGGGGCACTGAGAAGGGGCTGGAACAGGAAGGGGGCACTGGGGAGGGGCTGGAGTGGGGGGGACACTGGGGAGGGACTGGAATGGGGAGGGGACACTGGGAGGGGCACTGGGAGAGGGCTGGATGGTGAGGGGCACTGGGAAGGGTCTAGAGTGGGAAGGGGCACTGGGGATGGTGACACTGTGGAGGGTGACCCTGGGTGGGGGTGCCAGGGTGTCATCACCGTTCCCACCCCCAGCGTGTTCCGTCCCCGGACCAACCTGCCAACAGTGCCCCTCATGCCCTCGGCCCTCAACACGGGGAGTCCCTGCCCGACCTGACCACGCTGCACTTCCCGTCCCCTGCCCACCCCCTGGACCCCGGAGGCCGTTCCCCCTGAGCGGGGCAGCAGCACCTCCAACCTGGCCACCACCGTGGCCCACCTGGGCATCAGCGGCACCAGCACGGGGGGCTGGGCTACGACCCCCAGGTGAGTGGGGGGCACAGGGGGCTCAGAGACCCCAGGTGAGTGGGGGGCACAGGGACCCCAGGTGAGTGGGGGGGGCACGGGGGGGTGCTCAGAGACCCCCCAGGTGAGTGGGGGTGTACAGAGACCCCCCAGGTGAGTGGGAGGCACAGAGACCCCCATGTGAGTGGGGGGGGCACAGGAGGGCTCAGAGACCCCCAGGTGAGTGGAGGGGCTGGGCTCACGACCCCCAGGTGAGTGGGGTGGTACAGGAGTACTCAGAGACCCCCCAGGTGAGTGGGGGGTGCTCAGAGACTGCCCAGGTGATTGGGGGGGCACAGAGACCTCCCAGGTGAGTGGGGGGCACAGAGACCCCCAGGTGAGTGGGGGGGCAGGGGGGCTCAGAGACCCCCAGGTGAGTGGGGGGCACAGGGGGCTCAGAGACTCCCCAGGTGAGTGGGGGTCACAGAGACCCCCAGGTGAGTGGGGGGCACAGGGGGCTCAGAGACCCCCATGTGAGATGGGGGTGTACAGAGACCCCCAGGTGAGTGGGGGGGCACAAGGGGGCTCAGAGATCCCCCAGGTGAGTGGGGGGCACAGGGAGACTAGAGACTCCCCAGGTGAGTGGAGGGCACAGAGACCCCCGGGTGAGTGGGGGGCACAGAGACCCCAGGGTGAGTGGGGGGCACAGGGGGGCTCGAGACCGCCCAGGTGAGTGGGGGTGTGCAGAGACCCCCAGGTGAGTGGGGGGCACAGAGACCCCAGGTGAATGGGGGACACTGGACCCCCCAGGTGAATGGGGGACACAGAGACCCCCAGGTGAATGGGGGACATGGGCCCCAGGTGAATGGGGGACTGCAGCCCCAGGTGAGTGGGGGAGGCACAGAGACCCCAGGTGAGTGGGGGGCACAGGGAGGGCTCAGAGACCCCCAGGTGAGTGGGGGGCACAGGGGGGCTCAGGGACCACACAGGTGAGTGGGGGGCTGGAGCTACTGACCCCCAGGTGAGTGGGATGGTACAGGAGTGCTCAGAGACCCCCAGGTGAGTGGGGGA